TATTTCATGATCATTTAAGTCCTCCCTCAAGTTAATTTACCTCCTACTTTCCTTACTTGTGATAGAAGTCACAGGGCCGTTCCAATGCAGAAGAAAACCATTCAACCCATCAAACCTGCACCAGTGCACTGAGCACTTTTGTTTCCCACTTTATTCATTCATGGGATGAGGGCATTGCTGCCTAGACTGATATATTACTTATTCCCTAATTGCACAGAGGGCACTTAAGTGTCAACCATATTACTGGGCGTTTGGAGCCACATGTTGGCTAAACCAGTAAGGATGGCAGTTTCCTTCCCTAAAGGGCATCAGTGAACTAGATGGGTTTTTCCAGCAATCGACTATAGATTCACGGTTATCTTTAGACTCTTAATTCTGATTTTTTTTTAACTGAATTCAAATTCCACCATCTGCTGTGGTAGGATTTGAACCCAGGTCCCCAGAACATTATCTGGGTCTCTGGATTAACAGTCCAGCAATAATACCACTGGGCATTAGCTCCCCACTACTTGAACTTAGTGCCAATCTCCTGTCTTTTCCCCAGGACCTTGCACATTGTTTCTATTTGAATAATTATCCAATGGCTCCTTGATTGCCTCAATTGAACCTTCCCTTACCATACTTCCAGATAGTACATTTGAAACTTGAATGATTCACTGTGAGAAAAAAAATATTTTTCACCTCACGTTTGTTTTTTTGTGATGTGCTTTTAAACTGTGTACTTTGGTTCCCAATCCTTTGAGAGTGGGAAAGGTTTCAGCCCATCTGCTCTGTCCAACTCCCTCATGATTTGAAAACTTTTATCAAATGTTCTCTTAGCCTTCTCCTCTCCAAGGAAAAGAGTCCCAGCCTCTCTAATCTTTCCTCATAAAAGGCAGACAGAACAGGGAGATGGAATATGAAATTCAAAATCGTGAAATGTGGGGGTGAGTTGGGTCTCTGTTGATGGAGATAAACCATATTCTACTTCATGAAGTTTCTGGGAAGGAGCACCTTCCATTATTACGGAATGAAAAAATGGCTTTTGTAGTTGTGCACTCATACCAGGGATGAAACTTAGCAATAGTTCTTGTATGCAATGGAGCTGCTGGACCCTGTAACCTGGAACTGGCTGAAATTTAGAAGGAATCATTGACACAACTCCAGTGAAATATTCATGAGCAAAAATGTTGTCATTTATATTTAGGCTGGTTTCATTTTTTGCAGATCCTTCTCTGATATTAATAGCTTGAAGCCAAAGCTTCCTCTATAATTATCCTTCCTGCAAGGACACTGGTCCCAACCTGATTCAGAGTCCCATATCCACTCTTAGCAAGGTGTTAATTGTCTTGACTAGTCTATCTCTATGGTTAGTGGTCTCAAGGTCCTGTTTCTTAATTTAGCCCCTAACCCTTGATACTGGAGGATTGACTTGCCTAGTCTATCTCTATGGTTAGTGGTCTCAAGGACCTGTTTCTTAATTTAGCCCCTAACCCTTGATACTTCCTCAGTAAGATCTTTTCCTTGTTCCTATATAAATGTTTGTTCCAAAACAGATCACAGCAATTGGATTCCACCCTCCCCTGCCCTTTCTAGACTATTGTTCAAAGGTTCTGCAGATATTTTGAAGAGGTAGCACAGAGTTCCATTGTTGCGTATGTGGAATCCAACAGCACGCTTTCAGTTGTCGCTAATTGTCAACATGAAGTTGAGGAAGAGGAGGGGGAACATCTCACACACTTGTGAGATTTAAAGTAATGGTGCTGTGGTGCAAAGAAAAGCCAGTGCCAGATATGATTAAGCTACAAACAGAAGAGTAACAGAGGAACTAGGCGAGTGCGAGGGTGGTTCCAATCAGCTGAACACTGGAGGAAAGGTACTGAAGGAAGATAGCATTTCCAATCACGTTAAAGGATGATGTCAGATGGATACAGTGGGAACAGAAAGGAGAGACTGAATGGTTACGGGAGGAAAAGGAGGCTGCAAGGCCACCATCTCCCCTTCTTGCAGATTTGTCCTCCCATTCCTGCAAACTAACTCACTCCTGCCCTTGCAGCCTCCTTTTTCCCCTATAACCATTCAGTCTCTCCTTTCTGTCCCCACACTTCAGCATTCCTCTCTCCCTCCCCTATAGCCTCCTTTTCTCCCACATGCTCGCATTCTCCCTCCCTAGCCCTCCTGCTCCACCCTTTCATGGTCATACAGTCCCACAGTCATTGAGGTATTTGACATGGAAATAGGCCCTTTGGCCCAACTCGTCCATGCCAACCAGTTTTCCTAAACTGAACTAGTCCCATTTACCTGTGTTTGGCCCATATGCCTCTAGACCCTTCTTATCCACGTACCTATCCAAATGTCTTTTAAACGTTGTAATTGTATGTGCTTCTACCACTCCCTCTGATAGTTCATTCCATTTACATACCATTTCCATTACAAGAAAATGTTGCCCCACAGGCCCCTTTCAAATCTTTCGCCTCTTACCATAAACCTATACCCTTTAGTTTTGGACTCACCTAACCTGGGAAAAAAACACCTTGGTTATTTACCTTATCAAAGCCCCTAATAATTTTATAAACCTCTATAAGGTTATCCCTTGACCTCCTACGTTCCAGTGAAAAAGGTCCCAGTCTATCCAGGCTCTCCTTATGGCTCAAACCCTCCAGTCTTGGCAATATCCTTGCAAATTTTTTTTTGCATTCTTTCCAGTTTAATAACATCCTTCCTACAGCAGAGCAACTAGAATTGTTTGCAGTACTCCAAATGTGGTCTTACCAATGTCTTGTGCAACCACAACATAACGTCCCAACTCCTGTATTCAGTGCTTTAATGAAGGCAAGCATGCCTAATGTCTTCTTCACCTGTCAACCTGTAATGCTACTTTCAAGGAACTATGTACCTGCACCCCTTGGTCGCTCTGTTCGACAACACTCCCCAGGGCCCAACTATTAACTGTGTAAGTCCTTCCCAAAATACCACACCTCACATTTATCTGAATTAAATCCCCCTCTCTTTTCTGCCTTTGGAACCTCCATCTCTTCTCCATTTCTCCTTTACAGCCTCCGCTCTCCTCACAATTTTCATCCCCACCCCAATGCTGACTTTATTGTGGCCCGGGTGGATGGAAATCTCACAGATAGGTCGCCTACCCTTGGCATCCCTATCCCAACAATGCATAAGTAAACTTATCAGCAACAAGCATGAAGGGAGAATCAACCTGTGATAGGAGAAGGAGCTCCAAACCAACTCTGTCCACACTATATACAGGGTCAGTGTTTTTTGGTTGCTCCTGTTGATTGAATATTCCCAGGAATTTCGGGGATATTCAGGAACAAATGTATCTGCCATCCCTGTGCATTTTTAGTTGCTTTCTAGTACTTTGCTCAACTGGAAGTGGATCAAGTGAGGGATGGTCAGTGAGTTCCAGCTGTGGAGGAGCTACATCACTACCATTGTTACCATCAGATAATGCTAAATTAGTAGACACTGATTCTCACCAGTGTAATTCAACATTGGACAGTAGATCACCAAATAAGCCATAAAGGAGACCACAGACTTTTATCTAAAACCAGATATTTAGAAGCTGTCTATTACTTGATTAAAGTAGAACTGGCCAGAGGATCTATAAACTTTTTTCTCCAATTTTGTATGTCCCTGTGTTCCAAAGCTGGGATTAACACAAATTGTCACAACTTTGTTTAATTTCTTAACTTGTTGTGTCCTATCACAATCCTGAAACACACCACAAATGTTTATTACAAAAAATCTCATTCAGTTCTTGGCTTTGATCTTTTCTTTAGGGTGTGTGGGATAAGGCAGTGTTTCATCCTGTTACTGAGTCTATTAAGTTCTTGGTCCCGCAGGCCCGACCAGTCCCCCACCACTGACACCCTCATCCGCTTAGTCCTCACCCTCAACAACTAATCCGACCCGACCACCAAAGACATTTTTCCCTCCCCACCCTTATCTGCTTTCCGGAGGGACCACTCTCTCCGCGACTCCCTTGTCCGCTCCACAGTCTCCTCCAGTCCCATCACAACCAGCACTTTTCCCTGCAACCACAGGAAGTGCTACACCTGCCCCTACACCTCCCACCTCATCCCCATCCCAGGCCCCAAGAAGACTTTCCACATCAAGCAGATGTTCACCTGCACATCTGCTAATGTGGTATACTGTATCCGCTGTTCCCATTGTGGCCTCCTCTACATCGGGGAAACCAAGCGGAGGCTTGAGGACCGCTTTGCAGAACACCTACGCTCGGTTCGCACTAAACAACTGCACCTCCCAGTCGTGAACCATTTCAACTCCCCCTCCCATTCCTCAGACGAAATGTCCATTCTGGGCCTCCTGCAGTGCCACAACGATGCTATCCGAAGGTTGCAGGAACAGCAACTCATGTTCCGCTTGGGAACCCTGCAGCCCAATGGTATCAATGTGGACTTCACAAGCTTCAAAATCTCCCCTCCCCCTACCGTATCCCAAAACCAGCCCAGCTCGTCCCCACCTCCCTGACCTGTCCTTCCTCCCACTTATCCCCTCCTCCCACCTCAACCCCCATCCCCATCCCCTACCTACTAACCTCATCCCGCCCCCTTGACCTGTCCATCCTCCCTGGACTGACCTATCTCCTCCCTACCTCCCCACCTACACTCACTTTTACGGCTTCATCTCCGCCTCTTTGACCTGTCTGTCTCCTCTCCACCTATCTTCTCCTCTGTCCATCTTCTATCCGCCTCCCCCTCGCTCCCTACTTATTTCAGAACACCTTCCCCTCCCCCATTTCTGAAGAAGGGTCTAGGCCCGAAATGTCAGCCTTCCTGCTCCTCTGATGCTACTTGGCCTGCTGTGTTCATCCAGCTCTACACCTTGTTATCTCAAGTTCTTGACTCACTGTGTTCACATTTACGCCATTATATCTTGAAAGCTAACAAGTTGAGGTTGACGCGTGTCTCCTTTGTGCAATGCTGTATTAAGCGCTAAAGAAATCGCCCTGATGCTGAGCTAAGGAGTGAATTATTACTTACACAGGAGCAGCACAACATGACGATGAAGAAAGATTCCATGATTCCAGCAATTCCCACAACCCATGTCAGGCGCAAGAACAATATGACTCCAAAAATATTCTGCAGGCAGGGGAAGTAAACTCCCATGATTGTACCCATCCGTGTAGCCTGTAAAGAAGGAAAAAGTAGTGAAAAAAAAGACACAGTCTCAGATCTTAAGTTTGAATGAATAAAACCTTCGATGTCCACCGTAATTGCGGCATTGATATGAAGACTTCATGGGCAACATTGCACACAACTACAGATCTCATCTCATACTCAGAATATGTTCACTTTAAATTGTTTGCATCACCAGTCATTGGTCAATAAATGCCAATGCTTTACCTTAAAATTATGTGGTTCAAATTATTCTACTGAGATCCAGCACAAATTTGGAAGAAAAAGTGGAAAGAGATTCTATTTATGCTTGTACAATAATAAATTTGACAGTGTAAAGACCAGCAATCAATCTGTCAAGTATTCCGGTTATGCAATGTTTGTAACAAGGTCAGCCAGGTGGACCTCATAGAATATGAGTTCCGTGATTGGGGCTGTTAATCTGGTCCAATCAGGGAGCCCTGGCTGAGGATGTAAACACGAGTGTCAAGGGTTCTGTTCACTCTGAGAGCTAGCTCTGAGGAACCTGGATCAGTGTCAAGGTCTCTCCACGTGTAAATAAAGGGTGACTTGGTGACAGGATACCGGCCTCTGTGGAGTTATTTGAGGTTACTGCTAAAATTTGTTAAGACCATTTTTTTTTGGGTTGCTGGATAGATGCCTAAAATTGAGAATAGGCTTGGCTTCAGTATTGAAATGAGACCCTTGTTCCATTTCAAGGATTCATCTGTTAAATTCCTTCAGAAAATTCAGAGAATTTACTGAACAAATCGCGTCTATTTTTCCAGATTCACAACAACCTGACTATTGCTTCCTGAAGTTGCAAAGTATGGCAAGGCAAGTTCTATATATTAACAACAATATAGACGCAACAGGAGCAGAAGGGGACCATTCTCAATTTCTGTCCAGTCCATGTCAGGTATGTATTGGAGATGATTGCTCCCAAAATAGGACATGACAAGTTTCTACGTCAAAATCTTTAATTACACAGTTGATTGCTTTCCATAATTCAAGTTGATTTTGTCTGAAAATGTCATGCTATACTGTTGCATTTTTGAAATTCAAGTGACAGCTTGAAAAACATATAAAACACACTCTCAAAGACAGCATCATTGACCAGAGCTTTTTATATTTTACAGCAATTGTACAGGTCCTTGGTGAGAACCACACCTGTAATATTGTGTGCAGTTTTGGTCTCTTATCTGAGGAAGGATGTTCTTGCTATGGAGGGAGTGAAACAAAAATGTACCTGACTGATTCCTAGAATGGCTGGACTGGCTTATGAATGGAAAATTGATTAGGACTACATTCAACGGACATTAGAAGAATAATGGGGGACATATAATAGAAATCTCTAAAGTTCTAACAGGGCTAGGCAGACTGAATGCAGGATGGATGTTTCTAATGACTGGGGAGTCCAGCACCAGGAGTCATAGTCTCAGGATACAGGGTAGGGTTTTATTTAGGATTCAGCTGAGGAGAAATTTCTTCACCCAGAGATTAGCGAGCCTGTCAAATTCTCGGTCATAGAAAGTGGTTGAGGCCAAAACATTGAATGTTTTCAAGAAAGATTTAGATATAGTTCTGAAGGCTTAAGAGATCAAAGGGTACAGGGAAAAGATGATATTGAATTGAATAATCATCCATATTGAATGTTGTAACATACTGAAAGGGATGAATGGCCTCCTCCTGCTTCTATTTTCTACATTTCTGTTTCTTTCTCTCACATTTGACTGCTTCTTATTTCTGTAATTTTACAGTATTATGGAGAAGACTTCAGTAAATCATTGTTTTGCAGTTATCCACAGTTAATCCTCGTAGGCTTCAACTACTTTAAAAATGAGCACCATCATTTAAGGCAGTTTCTTAACAAAAAATATTAGCATTAGTTTCAGTACTCTTCCTATGATCTTCATTTTGTTCTTTATGACCTGACCTATGCAATTGATAATGATGATCACATCAAAGAGAAGCCAATTCAGGAAGAATGAACACAGCACACTCCCAGTGGAGGAGCGGACTGAATATCAGTAGAGATAAAGTCATGATTAATTCAGGGAACTTCAGAGAACTCATTTCAAATGTGCATATTAATGATAAACACCATACCCATTCAAGATTAACAACTCACAAAACGCAATACCCTAAAAACATTTTCAAGTTGTTCACAGATTAGGAACTACAAAATAAAAAATACACAGCATACAACAAAATAATATTCAACAGAGTCAAAGGCTCCTTCAGTTTTTGGCAGGTGATGATTGAAACAGTGACGTTTTCTTTAAAATAAGTGGTTCTATATACATCGGGGCCATTGTGCTAATCTAGTTCAGTGACATCAGTGCTGCTGAATACAATGTGTTTTCAATTTGACCATCAGATCAGCACTGCGTGCTACAAAGATACGAACAGGAACAAAAGTAGGCCACTCAGCTGTCGGACCTGCCCCGCCATTCAGGCTGATCTGATTTTAACCTCAATTCTACATTCCTGCATATCCCAAATAATGTTTCACGCTCTTGGTAATCCAGAATCAATCTAACTCTGCTTTAAAAATATTTTAAGATTTCTGCAACCACTGCCTTTTGAGGAAGGGAATTCCAATGACTCACAACACTCAGAGAAAACAAGTGTACTCATCCCTTGTTTTAATGGAACCCCCTTACTTTTAAACTCCGACCAATTTTCCCTCTAAGTTGTGTGGCTGTGGGTGTGTGAAGCTGGTCCAGTGCTCTGCATATGATAATTGGTGTTGTTACGCCAATCATGGCATTGACTCCCAGTCCCAGAAATCACTGCTGCACATGGGCCAGTAACAAAATTAGACAGAATGCTCACAATGACCCCCATTTCTAGATTCTTCCGTAAGAAGGAATATCCTTTCAATATTCGCCTGGTCGTATCCCCTCAGGATTTTATTCAGTCCAATTAAGTCATTTCTGACTCTTCTAAACTCCAGGCCTGGCCTCATAAGGCTGCTCATTCCAGACATTGTCTAGAAAATTTTCTCTGAACTGCTTCCAACGCATTGACATCCTTCCACAGGTACAGTGACCAATACTGTAAGCAGTACTCCAGATGCAGTCTTACCAATTTCTTGTATTACTTAAGCATACTCTCCCTATTCTTAGATTCAATTCCCCTTGCAATAAATCATAACATTCTAATAACTTTCCAATTACTTGCTGCACCTGTATACTAACTTTCAATGATTCATGCACTAGGACACCTAGATCTCTCTGCATTTCAGAGCTCTGCAATGTCTCACCATTTAGATAATAGTTTTTTTTTTATTATTTCTGCTAAAATGGACAATTTTGCACTTTCTCACATTGTGCTTCATATATCAGATCTTTGCCCACTCACTTAACCTATCTAGTTTCCTTTTTAGGCTCCTTATCTTCTCTTCTTAACTCACTTTCCCACCTATCTTTGTGTTATTTGCAGATTTAGTTAACGTATCTTTAATCCATTCATCCAAATCATTTGTATAAATTGCAAAGTGTTGAGGTCCCAGCACTGGAACCCATGGCACACCACTCATGACATTCTGCAGGCCTGAAAAAGACCCATTTAACCTTGCTAAATAACTAAATTAGTTAAACCTAATTTTTCCTTGAGAAAGCCATATTGGTTCTGCCTGGTTTCCTTGAACCAGGTGCCCTGTATTAACAGAGCCAGGCAATCATAGTCATAGAGATTTGCAGCACAGAAAAAGACGCTTCAATCTATTAAGTTTAGACTAGTCCAAAAAAAAATCACCCAACATCTTTAACACTAGTTTTGAAAATTTTCCCAACAACAGATGTTAAGCTAACTAGGCTGTAATTTCCAACTTATTGCCTTCCTCCATTTTTGAACACAGGAATGACATGGGAGTTAGAATGATATAACAGCCACAGTGCTGTAGCACACCATTCAGTCCATCAAGTCCTGCACCAACCCTCTGAAAAGTATCCCACCGTATCCCCATACCCAGCATTTACCATGGACTATCCACCTAGCCTGCATAGCCCTAAACACTATGGGCAAGTTAGCATGGCAAATCCACCTAACTTGCACATCTTTGGACTATGGGAGGAAACAAGAGCACCCAAAGGAAACCCATGCAGACATGGGGAGAATGTGCAAACTCCACACAGACAGTCACCGTAGGCCATGGTCGAAATGAATAGCAGAGTAGGCTTGTAGGGCTGAATGGCCTACTCCAGCTCCTATTTTCTATGTTCCTGTGTCAAGAAGTTTATTTTTATATTTTAACAGGCATAATAATTTCTACATTTGCTTGTTTTATGGTATTTAATTATCTCTTAGCACTAATGGCCGCAGACTGCAATAAACTTGCCCAAAGCCTACAGAACAATGAGCTAAACAAGATGTGGTTTCAAAACAGATGGGTTACATTCTGATTGCAGTGTGGGAGCATAGCTCCCACTCACAAAAACATTACTGTGGTAAAGTACTGATGCACTATAACAATGTTGCACACACTATCAGATTTTATTATCTTTTCTCTGATATTACAACTCCAACAAATAACACTTTCCTCCCGCTCATTGACTGCTGAGCTTGTGTGTAATATCACAATGACAACAAACTCACACTGTAGTGTCCTTTGTCCCTCCACTTAGCTCTCTGTACAGTAGTATCTCCTCCCACACTTCGATGCTGAAATTTAAGACAACAAAAATTCCAAAGAGCGGTTCATTTTAGTTACAATTCAGTTCACGTTCTCATAATGTGGTTGCAGCATAAATCTTCAGGCATTGTTCTCTTTAAAGGATACACTCTCCTCCATGTTTGTAATCATCTGTACATTTGGTGTCACTTTAAACTCAACATGTCCTCCTGGTTGGCCTCCCAACATACAGCAAAATTGAAATATTCCAAATCTCTGTTGCCAATGCCCTCACTGAAATAACTCCACAGAGGTTGATATCCTATCAGCAAATCTTCCTTTATTTAGACGTGGAGAGTCCTTGACACTGATCGAGCTTCCTCAGAGCCAGCTC